AGGTCACCCCAAAGCCACCTTGGGGCTATTCTGTAGGTGTTTGGACCACCAGGCCCACCCAAAGGCCATGCTGTGGGTGCATGGCCGTCCTGAGGTCACTCCAGAGCCACCTTGGGCAATGCTGGAAGTGTTTGGGCCACCAGGACAACTCCAGGGCGATGCTGTGGGTGCTTGGCCATCTTGAGGTCACCCCAAAGCCACCTTGGGGCTATTCTGTAGGTGTTTGGGCCACCAGGACCACCCAAAGACCATGCTGTGGGTGCTTGGCCATCCTGAGGTCACCCCAAAGCCACCTTGGGGCAATGCTGGAGGTGTTTGGGCCACCAGGACAACTCCAGGGCGATGCTGTGGGTGCTTGGCCATCCTGAGGTCACCCCAAAGCCACCTTGGGGCTATTCTGTAGGTGTTTGGGCCACCAGGACCACCCAAAGACCATGCTGTGGGTGCTTGGCCATCCTGAGGTCACCCCAAAGCCACCTTGGGGCTATTCTGTAGGTGTTTGGGCCACCAGGCCCACCCAAAGGCCATGCTGTGGGTGCTCGGCCATCCTGAGGTCACCCCACAGCCACCTTGGGCAATGCTGGAGGTGTTTGGGCCACTAGGACAACTCCAGGGCGATGCTGTGGGTGCTTGGCCATCCTGAGGTCACCCCAAAGCCACCTTGGGGCTATTCTGTAGGTGTTTGGGCCACCAGGACCACCCAAAGACCATGCTGTGGGTGCTTGGCCATCCTGCGGTCACCCCACAGCCACCTTGGGGCTATTCTGTAGGTGTTTGGGCCACCAGGCCCTCCCAAAGGCCATGCTGTGGGTGCTCGGCCATCCTGAGGTCACCCCACAGCCACCTTGGGCAATGCTGGAGGTGTTTGGGCCACCAGGACAACTCCAGGGCGATGCTGTGGGTGCTTGGCCATCCTGAGGTCACCCCACAGCCACCTTGGGGCTATTCTGTAGGTGTTTGGGCCACCAGGCCCACCCAAAGGCCATGCTGTGGGTGCTTGGCCATCCTGAGGTCACCCCACAGCCACCTTGGGGCAATGCTGGAGGTGTTTGGGCCACCTCAGGGCCACCAGGGCCTTGTGGGGTGACCAAGGTGGCTACAGGCACAGCACGCCACGTCTCGGGGAGGGCTTGTTGGGGATTTGGGGCCTCCCCACTTCTTCTCCGATGGGTTTTTGGGGTGTGTGGCACCCCCTCAGCCCTGTTTTGTCATTGTTGTCCCCTCCTCCCCAGGTACGCCAGTCTCTACTTCTGCTGCGCCATTGAAGGGCAGGACAACGAGCTCATCACGCTGGAGCTGATCCACCGCTACGTCGAGCTGCTCGACAAGTATTTTGGCAGCGTGAGTGGTCACCCAAGGGCGTTGGGGACAACCCAGCGGTGATATGGGAGTGCTGGGCCACCCCGTGGCCACGTTGTGGCTGCTTGGCCATCCTGAGATCACCCCAGAGCCGTCTCGGGGCACTGCTGTTGGTGTTTGGGCCACCTCAAGGCCACTGGGACCACCGCAGGGCCATGCTGTGGGTGCTTGGCCATCGTATGGTCACCCCAGTGCCACCTTGGGGCAATGCTGTGGGTGTTAGGACCACCAGGGCTACCCCATGGCCACGTTGTGGGTGCTTGGCCGACCTAAGGTCACCCCTAAACCCATTGCTGTAGGTGTTTGGGCCACCCCAGGGCCACCAGGACTACCCCATGGCCATGTTGTGGGTGCTTGGCCATCCTGAGGTCACCCCAGAGCCATCTTGGGTCCCGCCCCAGGTCCGTAACAGGGTCACAGGGTCCCCCTCAGGTCTACACCATGGGCACAGGACCCCTCCAGGCCCATACCATGGGCATAGGGCCACCACCAGCTCCATACCACGGTCACGAGGATTCCTACATCCATAACGTGGACGCTGGGCCACCCCAATGTCCACCTCAGATCCATAAGAGGGTCACAGGGCCACCCCTACATCCATACCACGGACACGGGACCTCCCCCCAGTCCCATACCATGGGCATGGGGCCACCACCAGCTCCATACCATGGTCATGAGGATCCCCAGGTCCATAGTATGGACATGGGGCCACCTCAAGGTCCCCCCACCAGGTCCATAACAGGCATAGGACTCCCCCAGACCAATACCATGGTAACGGGGCCACCACCAGGTCCATACCATGGGCGTGAGGCTACCCTAGGTCCACCACCAGGCCCATCCCATGAGCTGGGGGCCACCACCAGCTCCATCCCATGGGCATAGGGCCACCCCAACATCTCCCTCAGGTCCATAAGAGGGTCACAGGATCCCCCCACGTCCATACCGTGGGAATGGGGCCACCACCAGGCCCATCCCATGAGCATGGGGCCACCACCAGCTCCATCCCATGGACACAGGGCCACCCCAACATCTCCCTGAGGTCCATAAGAGGGTCACAGGGCCCCCCCACGTCCATACCGTGGGAATGGGGCCACCACCAGGCCCATCCCATGAGCATGGGGCCACCACCAGCTCCATCCCATGGGCATAGGGCCACCCCAACATCTCCCTCAGGTCCATAAGAAGGTCACAGGGCCCCCCCAAGTCCATACCGTGCTCATTGCCCCCACCAGGTCCATAGCGCAGTCATGTTCCCCCCCCTTCCAACTCCACGCTGTGGGCACAGGGCCACCTCAGGCCACCTTAATCCACCTGATCCCATTAACTCCACCGCCTTAATCCCCCCCGGGAGCCGCTTAGCGCCGCCGCTAAGGAGGATAATCAGGCTTAGCCGCTAACGAGGCGGGGGGGGGAGGGGTGATGATTGTGACCCCCCGCCCCCCTTTTCCTTTCCCGAGCAGGTCTGCGAGCTCGACATCATCTTCAACTTCGAGAAGGCCTATTTCATCCTGGACGAGTTCGTCATGGGGGGGGAGATCCAGGACACCGTAGGGTCATGGTGCCACCTCAAAGTCCCCCTATGGACCCTAATACACCTATAGACCCCAATACACCTATAGACCCCCTCCCATGGGCTCCTGGTACCCTCCACACTCCCCTATGGACCTCAGTAGCCCTATAGACCCACCCCATAGGGTCCTGGTGTACCCCACACTCCCCTATAGGCCTCTGATACCCCTATAGACCCCTGTAGGGTCATAGTGCCACCCCAAAGTCCCCCTATGACCCTAATACACCTATAGACCCCCTCCCATGGGCTCCTGGTACCCTCCACACTCCCCTATGGACCTCAGTAGCCCTATAGACCCACCCCATAGGGTCCTGGTGTACCCCACCCTCCCCTATAGGCCTCTGATCCCCCTATAGACCCCTGTAGGGTCATAGTGCCACCTCAAAGTCCCCTATGACCCTAATACACCTATAGACCCCCTCCCATGGGCTCCTGGTCCCCTCCACACTCCCCTATGGACCTCAGTAGCCCTATAGACCCACCCCATAGGGTCCTGGTGTACCCCACCCTCCCCTATAGGCCTCTGATCCCCCTATAGACCCCTGTAGGGTCATAGTGCCACCTCAAAGTCCCCTATGACCCTAATACACCTATAGACCCCCTCCCATGGGCTCCTGGTCCCCTCCACACTCCCCTATGGACCTCAGTAGCCCTATAGACCCACCCCATAGGGTCCTGGTGTACCCCACCCTCCCCTATAGGCCTCTGATCCCCCTATAGACCCCTGTAGGGTCATAGTGCCACCTCAAAGTCCCCTATGACCCTAATACACCTATAGACCCCCTCCCATGGGCTCCTGGTCCCCTCCACACTCCCCTATGGACCTCAGTAGCCCTATAGACCCACCCCATAGGGTCCTGGTGTACCCCACCCTCCCCTATAGGCCTCTGATCCCCCTATAGACCCCTGTAGGGTCATAGTGCCACCTCAAAGTCCCCTATGACCCTAATACACCTATAGACCCCCTCCCATGGGCTCCTGGTCCCCTCCACACTCCCCTATGGACCTCAGTAGCCCTATAGACCCACCCCATAGGGTCCTGGTGTACCCCACCCTCCCCTATAGGCCTCTGATCCCCCTATAGACCCCTGTAGGGTCATAGTGCCACCTCAAAGTCCCCTATGACCCTAATACACCTATAGACCCCCTCCCATGGGCTCCTGGTCCCCTCCACACTCCCCTATGGACCTCAGTAGCCCTATAGACCCACCCCATAGGGTCCTGGTGTACCCCACCCTCCCCTATAGGCCTCTGATCCCCCTATAGACCCCTGTAGGGTCATAGTGCCACCTCAAAGTCCCCTATGACCCTAATACACCTATAGACCCCCTCCCATGGGCTCCTGGTCCCCTCCACACTCCCCTATGGACCTCAGTAGCCCTATAGACCCACCCCATAGGGTCCTGGTGTACCCCACCCTCCCCTATAGGCCTCTGATCCCCCTATAGACCCCTGTAGGGTCATAGTGCCACCTCAAAGTCCCCTATGACCCTAATACACCTATAGACCCCCTCCCATGGGCTCCTGGTCCCCTCCACACTCCCCTATGGACCTCAGTAGCCCTATAGACCCACCCCATAGGGTCCTGGTGTACCCCACCCTCCCCTATAGGCCTCTGATCCCCCTATAGACCCCTGTAGGGTCATAGTGCCACCTCAAAGTCCCCTATGACCCTAATACACCTATAGACCCCCTCCCATGGGCTCCTGGTCCCCTCCACACTCCCCTATGGACCTCAGTAGCCCTATAGACCCACCCCATAGGGTCCTGGTGTACCCCACCCTCCCCTATAGGCCTCTGATCCCCCTATAGACCCCTGTAGGGTCATAGTGCCACCTCAAAGTCCCCTATGACCCTAATACACCTATAGACCCCCTCCCATGGGCTCCTGGTCCCCTCCACACTCCCCTATGGACCTCAGTAGCCCTATAGACCCACCCCATAGGGTCCTGGTGTACCCCACCCTCCCCTATAGGCCTCTGATCCCCCTATAGACCCCTGTAGGGTCATAGTGCCACCTCAAAGTCCCCTATGACCCTAATACACCTATAGACCCCCTCCCATGGGCTCCTGGTCCCCTCCACACTCCCCTATGGACCTCAGTAGCCCTATAGACCCACCCCATAGGGTCCTGGTGTACCCCACCCTCCCCTATAGGCCTCTGATCCCCCTATAGACCCCTGTAGGGTCATAGTGCCACCTCAAAGTCCCCTATGACCCTAATACACCTATAGACCCCCTCCCATGGGCTCCTGGTCCCCTCCACACTCCCCTATGGACCTCAGTAGCCCTATAGACCCACCCCATAGGGTCCTGGTGTACCCCACCCTCCCCTATAGGCCTCTGATCCCCCTATAGACCCCTGTAGGGTCATAGTGCCACCTCAAAGTCCCCTATGACCCTAATACACCTATAGACCCCCTCCCATGGGCTCCTGGTCCCCTCCACACTCCCCTATGGACCTCAGTAGCCCTATAGACCCACCCCATAGGGTCCTGGTGTACCCCACCCTCCCCTATAGGCCTCTGATCCCCCTATAGACCCCTGTAGGGTCATAGTGCCACCTCAAAGTCCCCTATGACCCTAATACACCTATAGACCCCCTCCCATGGGCTCCTGGTCCCCTCCACACTCCCCTATGGACCTCAGTAGCCCTATAGACCCACCCCATAGGGTCCTGGTGTACCCCACCCTCCCCTATAGGCCTCTGATCCCCCTATAGACCCCTGTAGGGTCATAGTGCCACCTCAAAGTCCCCTATGACCCTAATACACCTATAGACCCCCTCCCATGGGCTCCTGGTCCCCTCCACACTCCCCTATGGACCTCAGTAGCCCTATAGACCCACCCCATAGGGTCCTGGTGTACCCCACCCTCCCCTATAGGCCTCTGATCCCCCTATAGACCCCTGTAGGGTCATAGTGCCACCTCAAAGTCCCCTATGACCCTAATACACCTATAGACCCCCTCCCATGGGCTCCTGGTCCCCTCCACACTCCCCTATGGACCTCAGTAGCCCTATAGACCCACCCCATAGGGTCCTGGTGTACCCCACCCTCCCCTATAGGCCTCTGATCCCCCTATAGACCCCTGTAGGGTCATAGTGCCACCTCAAAGTCCCCTATGACCCTAATACACCTATAGACCCCCTCCCATGGGCTCCTGGTCCCCTCCACACTCCCCTATGGACCTCAGTAGCCCTATAGACCCACCCCATAGGGTCCTGGTGTACCCCACCCTCCCCTATAGGCCTCTGATCCCCCTATAGACCCCTGTAGGGTCATAGTGCCACCTCAAAGTCCCCTATGACCCTAATACACCTATAGACCCCCTCCCATGGGCTCCTGGTCCCCTCCACACTCCCCTATGGACCTCAGTAGCCCTATAGACCCACCCCATAGGGTCCTGGTGTACCCCACCCTCCCCTATAGGCCTCTGATCCCCCTATAGACCCCTGTAGGGTCATAGTGCCACCTCAAAGTCCCCTATGACCCTAATACACCTATAGACCCCCTCCCATGGGCTCCTGGTCCCCTCCACACTCCCCTATGGACCTCAGTAGCCCTATAGACCCACCCCATAGGGTCCTGGTGTACCCCACACTCCCCTATAGGCCTCTGATACCCCTATAGACCCCTGTAGGGTCATAGTGCCACCCCAAAGTCCCCCTATGACCCTAATACACCTATAGACCCCCTCCCATGGGCTCCTGGTACCCTCCACACTCCCCTATGGACC